AATGCTGCTGCGCTTTCACGTTTGGCTCATTTTCCATCCGAAAAACACGTGGTCTACCTGTCCTGTACCACTTGGTATGACTTCTCTCTCGCGCGTATTCCGTTAAGACCCACCCCATCTCACTCCTCGTGCTGAAACCTACCAATCAGAGTAGGGGCGGATCTTCACGGAATACGTTTGGGGAACAAAATCAAGCTTTTTAAAAGGCGAGTGCATGTTGGCAGGCAGTGAGTGCGGACCAACGATTGAACGATAACAAGAACGGCTCTCACCAAGTAGGACTCGGTTCCCCTCGTTCGTACCAAAGAGCCGTTCAAAAGAATCGGCTCGTTCGCGACCGACACATCACTACAAGGAATAGTCCAAGTAGTGGAGGAGTTTTATACAATATGTTTAAAACATAAAGATAAAAAGGTTTTAAAAAGTGATTGTTTAATGTTTTAAGGAGGTGACGCTACTCAGCCAATCAAATCGGTGCAGTCAGTGAGTCAGCACAATAGATTCAAACACTCACAGAGACGAGACAAGAGGAGAGAAACAGTCGGAATAATTTCAAATGGCGGAAGGTAGACAGCGAAAACAGAGCATTTAATGACATGTTCTCTTACTGGACCTCTTTGAAATGCAATGTAATAACAACAATAATAATAATAATAATAATAGCAATAATAATTGGGAGGGGGGGGCGCGGCTGTTCATATGTTCTCTGAGGGGAGGCTCACCTTCCCACACTTTGAAAACCCCTGCTTTAGACGATGGACAAGGCTTGTTCTGAGCAGCCTTTCTAGCTTTCCAAAACTGGGTGTAATTGAAATCAATAAGTGTGTTTTCTCAAAGTACACCTATTTGAAACATACCCACTGCTGCAAAAGGATTAGGTTCACCTGCTGTTGTTTTTGTTTGTTTTCTTAGTGCAACATTTCGTTTTGCTTGCTTTGTTTTGTCTTGGGACTTTTTGCTTTGCTAATTGTTTTGCTTATAGCTTTTGTTACCTTATAGCTATTCTGTTTGGAGTGATTTCTTTAGCTTTTAGCTATGGCCCTTGTTTTTGCGTTGTAGCTTTTGCTTTGTGCTATGCCGACTTTAGTTTTGGTTTCTACTTTTCATACACCACTTTTAATGTCTCTAAAACCCAGTAATTGATTTTAGACGTCACAAGGATGTTCCTAAGGAGTGCATCATACACAATGACAAGGTAGAAATGGTCACATCATACAAATACTTGGGCACCATTTTCGATTACCACCTCAAATTTGATTTGAATACTGAGTGTATTGTGAAGCGGGGTCAACAGAGAATGCACCTTCTTCGCAAACTGAACTCTTTCTCTGTCAGGCCTTTCATTCTTTGTCGTTTTTACCAAGCATTCATTGAGAGCCTTATTTGTTTTTCTTTTATCTGCTGGTTCCATAGCCTTACACTGAAAGACAGGAACAGCCTGAACAGCATTGTTAAAACCTGCTCTAAGATCATCGGCGTGAAACAGAGAGACTTAAATTCCTTCTGTAACCAACAGATTCTGCGGAAAGCAGAGAGCATTCTGAACTCTCCAGGTCATGTTCTTGCACATGAATTTCGTCTGTTGCCATCGGGGCGAAGATATGCTCTACCTGCTCTAAAGACTAAATTGGAATGATCCACATCTGTGCTCCGGGGTGGGTGTATCTGTGTGTTTTCTTCCTGTATGTTCCTGTGTAGGCCTACATGACATAAGCTGCTGCTCATAACCAATTGCCCCTTGCGGGATTAATAAAGTTGTTGATTGATTGATTGATTGACACATATTGCATTTTAAGTACATATTTTAAATACATATTGTAATAAAGATCATTCTAACTGAATATTTATTTGTTGTTTTCTAACTAACCATTTTATCTTGCAGCAACCATTTTCTATTTGTTTTGAATATAATAAAAAATGATATTTTAAAACACACCTCTGTCCCTCAGTTGACGAACCGGTGTGTCTTGATTACTTATATTACTAATCAAGGGTTTTGGTAAAAGGTAAAGCATTGCCTTGTGTCTATTTCCTGGGGTGCAAGACCCCAGGTGGTGTTGTCGGTCCTTTGACTCAAAATGAATATGATTAATATTTAAACCCACCCCATCACATCAAGAAGTTAACAATTTCTCATCCCTGGTGAAAATGATACATGATACATGATCTTTATCTTCAGAAGTCAATTTCTGTGGAATTGGTTCTCAATGGGCTCATTCACAGTGCCCTTTTCTTTCTCGTGTTATGTTGCATTGAACTCAGTCTTGAAAGCACTCTGGTATGTGATTACTTTCTGGGGAATTCACCTGTCCCAAACTGCCTGAAGTAAGAAATAGACAGATTGAGAGGGACCTCCTCAAATCTTAAACTGAGCAAACCGGTAGGAAAACAGGTTTATGAGTCGCTGCGTGCAGTCTCATTACACTATTCCTCATTGTAGCAGTAAAGTGTTTAAACGGGGTCTTTACAGATACAGACACTGCCACACACGTCTAGTGGGTCATAAGGGATGATTGAGAGAGATTATTGTATGAGTTTATTTTCCTTTATAGAAAAATCCCTGTAAATTGGGTATTTAAAGTGATATTGTACAAAATGTGTCAGGTTAATAAGAGCTATTAGATCCAGCTGTGTAAGACCATGATAACCTACTGTATGACCAGCTTTTATGGTTTAAAGAGGTTATATAATGCACACATAATTTAATGTATGTCAAGTACAAGTATACATTTCATGGCTGCCTTTTCGCTGTAGGCTACAGCTGGATAACAGTGCTAGCATAATTGTATTGATCAATGCACACACCAGAATGCCTTGCAGCTGTCTTGTGAAAATTGTGGTGTGATAATAGCTGCAGTGATAATGATGACGACCGCAAGTCCTGTAAGTGGGAGGCTTTGTTGATTCAAAGGGAGCAAAATGTATATTCTGATGAACTGCTTCCTCTCAGACACATTGTGTATCAGCCAAAATAACACAAAAGCACACCCATTTATTAAGTGCCCAAAACACGCTAATTGCAATGACTAAGTAGAAAAGGAGGAAGTAACTGAATGTGAAATCAATCATTATGCAAAGGCTGGAAACAAAAGCAATGCAGCATAAATGTCATGTATCCGAGAGATTTATGTCAAATAAATTGATTGAACTGAAATCCTTATAGACGATAGGTTATCTTAAGTGTCAATATAGGCTATGTTAGTTGACTATCTTAACTTTGGTGGCAATATTGGTCAATTTAGTTTTACTTTAAAAAAGGCTCTATCAATAACATGTCAACAAAAATGCTGCCTAAAAACCAAAACCCATGACTTGTTTAAAGGTTCATTGCCAAACGTTCCGTATGCAGACTTTAACATCAGCTGCATCTCAAAGGTAGTAAGTAATATCAACAAACATTAAGCTCTGGATGTGGAAGTAAAAGATGGTTGGGCTGAAGTTTCTTAGCAACAGTGCATGCTCACAGTAGCCAGCTATAGACTGATGCCAAACATCTTAAAGCATAGTTACATTGATGCTTCCCTTAATAAACTTTGAGAGCTCAATGGAAATATATACTGTGATGACAGTCTTTGCAGTGCAAAAATATAAGATGCAGAGAGGTTTAACATGCTCTGACAATTCCTCAGGGCTATTGAATAGAAGAGATGGTGACTATGTGAATGAATTGATCCAATTGAAAATATGTTACATTACTTAAGGGCAAATGTTCCACATGCATGTCCATGTCTCATTAAATCATGTCATAATGACAGGGCCACTGAGTGTTGTTATCCACCCTTATATACAATGATGTGTATGTCTTCCTTGCCTTTTCTAACAAACATCAAATGATTTATTTTCAATAATGTACAAGTTCTCCTTTGGCATTATGACTAGGAGCCTACTACAGCAGTAGCTACTGCTAGCCTGGGTTTCTGCCTCTTTACATAACTACACCCTAAACTAACTTTAGTCTCAGATAGTAAATATTTTGAGATAGATCTCTCCCTCTACATGTTCTTCAGCACTGCAGTTTACACGTTATTACCTCTGCCAAGGAGGTTATGTTCTTGCTTAGGTATGTTTGTGTCTTTGTCAGCGGGTTAAGAAACTGGACCAATTTTCAAAAACTCTGTGATTCCACTCCTAAGATTAATATGCATTTAATTAAATATGGAATGGAATGTTCCTGACCATTAATGATTTGCATTCAACAATTGTTTTATAGCCTATGTGCAAGAGGTTTCAACCGGGGGGAGTATAGAGCTTTTGAGCTACTGTAAGTGACGTCATCGCTTCCTCCCACCTGTCCTTAATCACGTGATTGACGAAAGTTTGTGTTCGTGCATCGGTCGCTCTTATCTCAGGTAGGAGTCACTTTTATAGCAAAGTTTATTTGTGGGTTTGCTTAACATGTGTAGGCCTACATTTGGAGGACATATTGATATGTTTTGCTTGGGCAGTTTTATAAAAAGAAAAAATCGCAGTTATTTTCATGGCAACATGACTAGCTAGCCTTATTACTGCTAACAACCACATGGCACCACCAGCCTCTTAAACAACGACGTCACGATTTAACTTAACTAAAAATAACGATATTTAAAAAAAACATGTCTTTAAGCAGATATTTCAACTACCATAGCCTACATTTTATTTTCAAAAATCTCGAAATAGCTATGACTGTCATATGATGCATACTGTACATCTAAAACCCTCTTGTGAATGTTACTTTAGTTCATGAATCGTATCTTCTGTGTTTTTAACTAAATTAACAAAGATATGCATTTCTTTAGGAAAAAAACCAATGCGTAACCCATTTCCTTCATGGAAAACTGACCCTCTCATCGCACAGACCTGTTAAACTGTGGTATAGCAGAACAACAAGAGAAACAATAAAGATGCGTTTTCATGTCGCGCAGTTGTTGCGACAGGATGCAGCGTGTCACTGTTTATCACCACCTGATCCTTCACTAGTATTGTACAGAGAGGGAGGGCAGATATATTTCCTGCTTTCCCTACAAACGACGAGAGAGCGAAAGGGGTGGGCAGGGGATTGCATGACATGCCAATAAGTTACAGTGACTTCAGTGGAGAGTACTAGTGATGAGATGAGGATCCGACCACACAACTTTCCTTCTGACAGCCGCATCCTCTGGTTCTCCGGCCAGTAGTTCTGGAGTAAATCTCAACAGGAAGCAACAGGAGGTAGGTAAAGTTTCATTAAATGCGCATGGATTTCTTATATTTGTATTGTGACAAATGTAGCACTTACTGTTGTGATTACTGTTATTTAAAAAAAGAAAAACACATTTAAATCATATTTTAGATGTAGATTATTTTTTAGATTTGTAGATATCTAAAGGCAGAATGTTTGGAGTTTAACAGTAACGTGTTTTAATAATGTTTTGACTTTAAAACCAAAATGCATATATTTCATGTCCTAATAATACAATGATTTAAGTTTGACATTTTAAATTAAGTTTCATTTTTCAAATGAGTATACAAGATACATGTTGACAGTAATTATGTTCCCACTGTGTCGTAAACGTCACTGAAATAAAATCTAATATTTTCCTCTGTCTTTATTTCTCATCTATTCTCAGTTGAGACTGTGATGCTGCAGCAGCAATGTCACAGCTGTATTACCAAACACATGACAACTCTTCATACAGGGACCGCATCCCCCTGCGGATTGTACGGGCAGAGTCTGAGCTCTCTGCCCTAGAGAAGGCCTACCTGGGGGCTGTGGAGAAGGGGGATTATGCCAGTGTGAAACAAGCCCTGGAAGAGGCCGAGATCTACTTCAGGATCAACATCAACTGTATCGATCCCCTGGGCCGCACAGCTCTGCTCATTGCCATTGAAAATGAGAACCTGGAGATCATTGAGCTGCTGCTCAGCTATAACGTATATGTGGGGGATGCCCTGTTGCATGCCATCCGTAAAGAAGTGGTGGGGGCTGTGGAGCTGCTGCTGAACCATAAGAAGCCACGTGGGGAAAAAAAGGTACTGTATATTGTAGTATTACACTTTTTTCTTGCCTCAGTCAATTTGTTAATTTTTTTGAGAACATCTTTGAAGCAACTTGCTCACACAATTATTTATTTCTAAATTACTCCACACAATACAGTATTTGTATTTGTTACTAACCTGTTTGCTGAGATTTTAGAAGCCTTTGTCAAGGAAATTGCATTACTGAACACGAGTATGGACAGTGAACTTTTCATTCCAGTAAGGTTTGTAAAGTGGTTTCCATTAGATATTTTATTTTTTTAAAACATCCATATCAAAGCTGCTGTGTGATTTGCAACTGCTCCTATGTCCATGTATATGCAGAAAAAAGGCAGTCAGTGGAAACAAGTACAGTGTGTGGCGCATTTAATTTGCTTCAATATTCAGTTATTTCTGTCATCTGCCTTGAAGCAATTCAACCCTAGAAACATATGTTAGACAATTAAATAATTAAGACAATTACAGAGTATGTATAAGCTACAGTTAAGTTTATTTTAGAGTTGAGAGTCTTAGAGAGTCAAGACTCCAACTCTCCCCAACCCTGAAGAGAATGAGCGGTTTAGAAAACAGATTTGGAAATTCTTGAGCATGCATTTCCTTTACAGCATATTGTAAGCTATATAATGGCACAAGATACGCATTTAGGGTCTACCTCTCGGATTGTATGAAATGGCTGTAGCACTTAACAATTTTCATACATCTTAAACTGATACAGATATAGAACAAACATTATACACTATATGTGTTTCTCAAACATTGGCTTTTATTTTAGGAAACCAACTCTGTATTTTCTGCTTACACGTTTCAGCTCTGATACTCTTTGATGTGCTGCTGTGGGTCGTTTTGCCACTGTTTTCAGCTTCTTGACATCTTTGTAAATGTGGTTTTTCTTTTACGCTGCTGGGCCTCTCTGTAATGGACTGGGTGTAATGTGTATCCTGTCAATTGAAGGAAAAAGAAAAAAGGGTTTAGTTGCCTCCAACCAGGAAGATATTTTGAGGGCAGCTTAACCACAAGTCATTAGCTGTGTGCTTTCTGATGAGATGGTCAGATACACAAGAGAGATGAAATTAGACCCATTCAAACCAGTTGTTTCTGTTTGTGTGCGGGGGTTAGAAAGAGTGTATTTTTCTGTGAATTTCCTGAAAAATGATAGTATAGTGTACATTGTTTGTGTTTCATGTTTCTTCATTTACCTATTCCTCTCTTGGCTTTCTCAAAAGGTCCCACCAATTCTTCTGGACAAACAGTTTTCAGACTTCACCCCGGACATCACTCCAATCATCCTTGCCGCCCACACCAACAACTATGAGATCATTAAACTGCTTGTTCAGCGAGGTGTTTCCATACCTCAGCCACATGCTGTGCGCTGCAACTGTGTAGAGTGTATCTCCAGTTCGGATGTGGACAGCCTACGTCACTCACGCTCGCGCCTCAACATCTACAAGGCCCTTGCCAGCCCGTCTCTCATCGCCCTCTCCAGCGAGGATCCTTTCCTTACAGCTTTTCAACTCAGCTGGGAGCTTGGGGAGCTCAGCACAGTGGAGAATGAGTTCAAGTCAGAGTATGAGGGGCTGTCCCATACGTGTAAACAATTTGCAAAGGACCTCTTGGACCAGACCCGGAGCTCTAAAGAGTTGGAAATAATCCTCAACTACCGTGATGACATCGACCCCCTGCTGGACGACAGCACAAATGATCTGGCCCGACTCAAGCTGGCTATCAAATATTGCCAGAAAGAGGTAAGCTCTTTGTTGATTATGATATCTGTATACTGACACTAGTGAAACAAGTACAACAAGGAATAAGTATTATGTTATTTGAACAATATGGTCTAGATAACAAGAAAGGTTCAAAGATGAGTTGTTAATGGCCTGAGATGGGTGGAGATGTGCTTAGGGAGTTTAGGATAACATGTAATTGCTTGGATGGCTCTTAGCAATGCATTACAGTTGCACTCTCAGACAGTCCCATGACAATTGGATAATTGGGGATAATGATGGAATAAGTGATGACCATTTCCCTGAAATACAAACTCATAATATTTTAATTGGGGTGGGATCATTTTACGGTCTTTTACATCTTCTTGAGAGTATGCAATTCCGACTTTCTATCATTTGTTGTGAAATAGAGCCACTTAAAATGTGCATTTTACACATTGGCAGGAACAGGATGAGAAATATGATTAAGTGTTTCATACTGTATGAATCCATAAGTATTAAGTATTATTTATGTTGTTTAAAATGGATTATATCGATTGATTTTTGCACAACACAGCAATAGGTGACAACAAAGGAAGCTTGTACAAAATGATTTATACTGCGATGTAAAAAAACAAGCTCAGAATTTTTGTTTTTGTTTACTGCATAACCGGGCTAATAGTTTAAGTATAGACGGGGTTTCAATGGTTGTCTTTAATTTTTGCCTTCATTAAAGTACTACTTAAAGATTTTAGGGTCATGTTGGTATACAGTATTTGTCTAATATTTGCAGGGTTAAGGCTTTTATCATCTATGCACTGCTCATCGGCTACAGTACATTAAGATTTTTTCTTTGCCTTCCGTATTTAAGAGTTTTTGTAGCAGTGTTTTGGCTTTTCTGTTACATTCTGACAAGACAGTTGGCGAAGCGAGAATAAAAGATCAGTGTGACTTTTAGTGTTAGCAACCCTGTGCCATAAATGTCTCCATGGCAAAAGCATTTACAGCTGCACTTCAAGGGACATTTGTACGTGTTGCCTTATCACAGATAGGTGTTACTACTACTAATACTGGGACTACTACTATTACTACCACTCCCACTTCTGAAAATAATGATAACTACTACATACTTATCTGCAGTGAGATTTAACTTGCTCAAGACCTGAATGCTTTAAGACTCAACTTAACTTTGGAAACAGTTTGAACCAGTAAGATCCTGGAGCCATAATTAACATGACAACAAGGCTGCCAAAAGTAGGACAATTAATATGATATAAAGTAAAATGTATATGGGAGTATTCATTGTTTGCCCTGCCTGTCCCTAAATTCACAGATGTAGCCATTGAGCAATTGCTGTGTAAATGACAACATAGTATGTTGTGAGTGTAAGGTCACTCACAACCTTACTATGACCTCCATTGTCTGTTCATGCTAACAAACACACAGAAAATGCACAACCTGTGTAGTTCTTTTTAAGATGCGTTGTATTGCTGGTGACAAACACAGTACATTATTGTAACATTGTGGTAGATGATAAATTATGTGGAGTATGTGCTTTTATTTGCTTAGCAGAACTCAAATATTTAGTTGTTCATTATCAAGTTTTATCATAGTGAAATCTAAAGTGGGATTACAAATCATATCTAATACATTTTATCTAACAGTTGTGCAGTTTGATCATGTGCAAATAAACTGACAAATGTTATCAATTAGCATAATTAATACACCCAATTGAGCCTGCCAATGGGAAGATGCTGTGACGTGGGTGGGGTGATTTTCAACTTCCAAAATGTCCTCAGAAAAAATTGGGCTCTGCCAGATGCCTCCTTTAGCCTTCGGTCATGTTATAACAAGTCAAAATCTGAGAACGACGAATAGGAAGCTTTAAAGAAGTCAGATTCTGTATTATGATGACCTCATCACTCAAAATGTAATGCTATATTATACCATAATGGGAATCCATTTGGCCATAATTTGGTTAAAATTGAATTTACTTCCATCACCATCTGCAGATCTCCAGCAGATGTTTGTATCAAATCTCAAAGTCAATCACTCCTTAACAGAGGATTCAGAAAGATTTTCCAACTTGGACATTTTGTCTTGCATGCTTACATGATATACGCAAGTCAGTTATTAATTTTCTGTCTGACAAGTCACATGTAGTGTTCTTGTGATTGGATGTTGGATAACTAGTGCTTACAATAATACAGACAGCATAAGCAAGTGGTTTGCAGTGCCTCTAACAACACGAAATAAATAATGTGCAGCAACCAAGCCCTTGCTGTAGCAGAACGAGCCCTGGCAGTTTTTGTCATTTCAAGATCAGAGAGTTCGAATCGGCATGGAAAAACAATCTATATGTTACATCTGTGAAGAGGATTTATTTGGTCCAGGCATTTCCCAAATGTCTACTTGCACTGCCTGTGCAAATGACCAGTATATATTGAAACAATGCTGTACAGACATGTGGTTTACTTGGGGAGGGTTGTTTTTTTTACGATTAGCAACTGTAAAATCAATTGTTCTCAAGTGTGGGATTTCTGAAGGATTGTTTTAGAGACTTCTGGGTGTTGTATAGTTGTACAAAAGTTGAAGGAGTTGGCTTGGCATAATTAAGCCCCCTGTAAGGGACAGAGAAGCTTTGTATTTTGAGGGAAAATGTGATCTGAGCTCTTTTACGGTGGTTTAGTGGCAGTTTAGCCTTTATAGAGCACACATAGGTCTACTGGTGGGACAGTGATGAACATCACTAAAGCTGATCAAATACACAGTATATACAGCTACTGTATCATACCTGGTCATAATCATTTTTAAACATTCAATTAGTTAAATAATAATAACCACTTTTGTAAGGAGTTTTGAGACCGAAAACTTAACAAAATGCACATTATTGTTCCAGTGAAAGTTTTTAATGAAGCAAAGATAATCCTACAATTAAAATGACAAATGTCAACATGGGGCTTTGGGGTGATGATATTAAGTAGATTGAGCACCATGATACTGACATTTAATAAACAGCATTTATGGTCTTGAATAATTGTTTTCTGTTGTTGTCCTAGTTTGTGTAGCCTTTAATTGTATATACGTTATGTTTGCAGGTTATGTATTGAGGTAGTTAAATCTTATTCTGCTGATCCTTGTCTTTCCTTTTCTCTCAGTTTGTTGCTCAGCCCAACTGTCAGCAGCTGCTGGCTTCTCGGTGGTATGATGAGTTCCCAGGCTGGAGGAGGCGGCACTGGGCAGGAAAACTCATCACGTGTATCTTCATTGGCCTCCTCTTCCCACTGTTATCCATCTTCTACTTGTTCTCTCCAAAGTGCAGTTATGGCTTATTCATTCGGAAGCCCTTCATCAAGTTCATCTGTCACACTGCTTCCTACCTGACCTTCCTCTTCCTGCTCCTTCTGGCCTCGCAGCATATAGCTTCTGGGCAGAAGGACTTTCAAGGCCCACCACCCACCATGGTGGAATGGATGATCCTACCCTGGGTGCTTGGTAACAACACACACTCTTAAAAGACAGCTGTTTACACTCGTGTTATCATGTATAGTACTATTGTACATCTGTATATTTGGTAAAAGTAAAACTAAGGGGCTTACTGACCACTGGTTGTTTGTCACACTTTTGTTCCTGTGGACACTTTAAGACATTGTTAAAATCACAAATTGCTTTTGTTGTCTGTTTATCTCTCTAAGGCTTTATATGGATGGAGATAAAACAGATGTGGGATAGTGGTTTCAAAGACTACATTGATGACTGGTGGAACTTAATGGACTTCATTATGAACTCCTTGTATCTTGCAACAATTTCCCTGAAAATGGTTGCCTATGCAAAGGTACTGTACTGAACTGATGCCTTTTATTTGTTGGTAGTCTATGTATTCATTGTTCTCCTTTTCTTTATTACAGTACAGTGGGCAAAAACCCAGAGACACCTGGGAAATGTGGCACCCGACTTTGATAGCAGAGGCATTGTTTGCCATCGCTAACATCTTCAGCTCCTTGCGCCTCATCTGCCTTTTCACTGCCAACTCTCACCTTGGCCCCTTACAGATCTCACTGGGCCGCATGCTCCTGGACATCCTCAAGTTTCTCTTCATCTATTGTCTGGTGCTGTTAGCCTTTGCCAATGGCCTCAACCAGCTCTACTTTTATTATGAAGACGAGAGTTCGGAATGCTACGGCATTCGCTGTTCTGTGCAAAACAACGCATTCTCAACGTAAGTAAGAGTCCCTAAATACATGTTATCCTGACAAATATTAATGTATCTGTCAGTTTTTCAGCAGCACATTGTTTAATGTATCGTTGTTTGCTTTTCAGGCTGTTCCAGACGCTGCAGTCATTATTTTGGTCGATATTTGGCCTAATTTCCCTCTATGTTACCAATGTGAAACCAGACCATAAATTCACTGAGTTTGTGGGCTCCACCATGTTTGGCACGTACAATGTCATTTCCCTGGTAGTGCTTTTAAATATGCTAATTGCCATGATGAACAACTCCTACCAGCACATTGCTGTGAGTGCTTTACCAATTTTATATTTAACCACACTAATTTGTCTGTTATGCCTTTTCGAACAGTTTTAAATAATTGCTGTTTGTTTTGTTGTTTTCTTTCAGGATCATGCCGATATAGAGTGGAAATTTGCAAGAACAAAATTATGGATGAGCTATTTTGAAGAAGGGGGAACTCTGCCTTCTCCTTTTAATATATTACCCAGCCCAAAGTCAGTTTTTTATCTATGTGGATGGATTAAGACACATTTCTTCAAGAGAACAAGCATAAAAAGGCGTGAAACATTCGAAACTCTGGGGGTAGGGCCTTTTGTTGTGATCTATGTTCTCTATAGACTGTAAAGAGGCTCAAAAATAATGAAGAGCAAATTAAATAACCTGTTCTCTTTAGAAATTGATTAATTTAAGCGAATGAAGTCACTCATTTCATGTACATCATAAGATCTCCTATTGTCAAAGGGCATGTAAAGTAAAAGCAATAAACCTTTAAAAAAAAATGTTGCAATGTTAATGGACTTTTTCTTTTGTATTGTAGAGACGTGCAGCCGATAATGTAAGATTAAACCATGGATATCAGGTAGTTATTTGTATTCCATTAAGTGCTGTAAAGTTTGGATGTATTGTTATGTGTAAGTAATTTGTGTTAAACTTACAAACATCGAATCTGCAATCATGCTTTACAAAAACAATCTTTATTATTTAGGGGGTTTTGAAGAACCTAGTGAAGCGGTATGTGGCGGCAATGATCAGAGATGCAAAGACAGAGGAAGGGCTGACAGAGGAGAACTTTAAGGTAATATGCAGTCAAACAAGTTGGTATTATTCATTGTTGTGTTTTCTCTGCTGTTGTTTAATATCTGTCTCTTTACAATTAATAGGAGCTTAAGCAGGACATCTCCAGCTTCCGCTATGAAGTCCTTGGAATGATGAAGGGTAAACTTCAAGGTGAGGGGGTCACAGGTAACGTCCTAGGCTCCACCTTGGCTTACCCTGGAAATTGTTTCATATATTCTCCCAAATTCCCTAATGATGAGCCACAACAGAAGCTGAGCCTGTTTGACATCACCGTGCCCACCCTGAAGAGCGCAGCGGCCACCCCCTCCATCACTGTGGGCTCTAACAGTACAGCCAATGGTTCGGTTGTCCTGTCCAGCACAGAGCAGACTCTCAACAAGCTATGCAATACTGTCTCAGATGCTGTGTCCCCCCAGAGACGCAGCAGACTCCCCTCTCTGACATGTGATGAAATATACTCATTGTCAGGGGAAGATATATTGGGAACTGATGGACAAAACCAAGGATGACTTCAGACTGATAAATCCGTTCTGGAATTCTTACAGAAAGTGGATAAGGACATTCAGGAGATTGATCATTCCTGCAAAGAACACACTAAGGAAGTAAACAATGGGCTAAAGAAAATAGACGCAAAATCATCTATGTCTGCAAGTGAGAGATTTTAACCATGAATAGATTTTTTTCTTTTTTTTGGACCTATGTTCATTCATGAAGCAGTTCATCAAAGTAGGATTTCTCTCATGTTTAAAAGTGACACTGTATTCAGTGTAATAATCATGTATTCTCTAATATAGTACACAGTATAGTAGTATAATACAATTTCTCACATTATGTTACAAGTATTCCTAAGTACTTGATAAAAGATATGCAACACTATGGAGCAAGGCTAACTTGAAGCTCAGGGAATTGTAAAGCAAGTTAGAAATGTATATTGTACATTGAGCATTTCATTCCAAAGAGCCCTGACGACACTCTGCTGCCTATCCTGTCCTCTTTCACTTTCATCTTTCCTCTTACTGTAATATGCAACATGTATATGACTAAAACAATAATATAACCCCTAATGTGCTAACAGTTTTTGTTAAAATCCATACTGCAACAAAATAATCAGGAAAATAATATAATCAATAAATAATATAAGTGTAGTTGTATTTAATAACTTAACAATTCCATATTAAATCTGTACGAAGTATCCAGTTTATCAATGTAGCATCTAGATTATTTATAGTTCTTGTTGTTTTTTATTCCACCATTACTTCCCTAACCTGTTCAGGGAGAGAGGAAATGTTTTACTCTAAATGCTTTTGATGGAGCAGAAGAGAAACACAATGCTATCTAGTTAAGATATGTTGTACATGTATTCCTATTCCTATATGTGTGGTTATTTATATGTGGAATTGTGTAACTTGTAATGTAATAAAACATCTCTGTTATTAAATGAGAATGTTTGTACTGAAGCAGTATTATCTAAAAAGGCTAACGGGGTGTACATATTACTAACATAACGACGGCGAGCAAATGGCACACAGATAGAGAAGGAAAATACTTGTTGAATTGGCCTTTCTCTTGATTTGCTTGACTGCTGACATCTCTCATCTTGTTTACTGGAGAGAGGATTTAAGTAAATAGTTTGTAACCTTCTCTCTGGCTGTATATACAGTGGTGTGTCTAACACTGTGCACTAGATGCAGAGTTGACATAGACATTCTCCCTCTGATAGGTCACTGTGCAGAAGAGAAACATCTCTCAGAGGACTAACATTACACCAGGTTCTGCTACACCACCTTGATGCGTGACGATTGCTTTTTTAGAACATTATACATACATTGCCTGTCCATTCAGGTTTAAACTGACTGTAGCTTTTCAAATAGCAGGATTGCCATTTCTCCTGTAATTAAAACTTGATTTAACAAACAATTAATGAACATATAAGATATGATGACGCATTATGTACAGTCCCAAACTATATGAATTTGTTCAAACTAGCTCCACTTTAACCAGCTCCAATATTACAATGCTGCATACATGCTAATACATTAGCCGCGTTCACACCGGAGTACTTTCACCGTACTTTTCGCGTTTTAGTTCCGTGAGTACCCCTTATGTCGCGTTCACACCAAAAATCGTACTTAATCTCGGGTACTTTTACCCCCATTTTTAGAGCCAGCTCAGAGAGCGTACTTTTCTGTGGGTGAAAAGTGCTCCAAAAGTTCCCCAGTGCTGATTGGCTAGGCGAATTGCAAACCACGCCCGTACAACTCTGAAAATGTTGTGTGGAGACGCCATTGTTTTTCCTCGCTACAAAAACACAACGCTCCGTGCGTTGTGTTTGTTTTTGAAAGCAGTTATGGCAAGCATCAAGAAATGATGAGGAGGTGTCGGCGCTTCTGGAGATCTACGCCGAGGAGGCGACCCAGGGAATGCTACTGAAGCCAGTTCGGTAGCTTTCACTCGACCTGGGAATTGTGCACAGCCGGCTAAATATAAAGAAACTCAGGACTACAAACGGCGGATTCAGTGGCCAACGATGACTACCACGATGAAGGTAAAATCAACTACATGCACTGGGGTTTTAATCTGCACAATAATGGTCTCAGATGTACTTTTATTTGCTCAGTAGATCAAGCTAGCCATGCTAGCCATAATAGGCTAACACCGGCCCCGGCTAGCTACATCTAGCTAGCTAGATATTCTCCGCTGTATGAAAACGTTTTGACTTGTGAATAACTGTGCAGTGTTTCTGTAATTTGCTTCACTAACTCATGGCACTAATCGTCTGTTTCAGGCGAGGATGGACAACTCTCGGGATTGGAAACAAGTGAGCTTTGCATTCTAGATCACAGCGCTTTGTCGTCCTCCTTACCAGCAACCAAACGCAAAGGTACACACACTGTCATTTTGTCTTGAAAGAACGTTACGCATCGAACTGATGTTCACAATCATGTTTATTTCATAATATTCATCATATTTTATGTTTAACTTGCCTCAACAACATTAAACAAAGTTCAAGCATACATGAAGCACTCTTCAAAAAGGAACAATCCTCCGTGTTTGAACCTCTTAAATCGCTGCATAGCCGATTTATTTGGACTGGATTATCCCAGAGAGGCCAAACATTCTTTATAACACAGTTTCAGATTTGTGAAACCTTAATTCTATTTGTGAAAATAAAAAAAGGGAGATTTCAGTGCTTTTTTTACATGTAGACCACATTAGACCAGGTCCTGATCTAAAACCACTATACCTACACTCATCAAATCTGGACTGGATTATCCCAGAGAGTCAAAAGATTCTTTATAACACAGTTTCAGATTTGTGAAACCTTAATTCTATTTGTGAAAATACAAAAAACACATTCCTAGTATGTTGTAAAACTACATGGCGACTAAACTTGTATATTGTATATTGCTTATTTTCCCCTCTTAGGAAAGCGGACACGGGATGCGAATTTCTTTGACACCGCCCAGGCGTTGGAGGACCGGCGTGCCGTGGTGAATGAGTCGCTGCGTGGAGATCAGATGGTGCTGTTCACCAAGGCCCAGGAAACGGAGGACAAGATGCTCACCTCGATGGAGCGCCAGGCAGCAGATGGAGCGCCAGCAGCACCAGGATGAAGTGTGGGCGCTGCGCCATGAGGAAGCGTCGGCGCAGCGGCAGGATGAGCGACAAACTGCATTTAATAACAGTTTATTTGGTATAGTTTTTGTAAATACTGACACACGACACACAACGTTGCACTAAGGTGTGCATGCTGCTGGGAATATCCCTACACCTGGGACAGTTTATTTTATATTGTTATTACTGTTATGACTTTATTTTATATATAATGTTTACTGACATGTACAACTGACACTTTATTTACATTTAAAATTGTTCTATTTAATGTTATGTCTTGAGAGTGCAATAAAGAAAACCGACATGGCGATTAAGCTTATTTCTCCTGACACTTTATCTTTTGTGACCTGTGTAGCATCCTATACATCACATGTAAGTGATTATTCTGATACCATCATGTTTCATCGGTTATAAACTGGCAAAGCTTTATTTGTCATTTATTTATCATCAATGTTGCAACCTTGTGGGGGAATGGCAGGGGCACATACACAAATATGACAATTTATATAATTTTAAATATTATTTGACCTAAACTTTTAATTCCCCCCATTTCACACAACACAACATGGAGTCCACTATGGGCCAAAACTAACATGTATGTTTGCATAGTGTTTATGGCAGACGGATGCAGTGGGTCTCAGGAAGATATATAATAAAGGTGGGTTTGCTGCTGAGACTCCCTACAGCTGGGAGTTTATTTTATATTGTTATTACTGTTATTATATAGTACAACTGACACTTTATTTTATATTGACAATGTTTACTGACATGTACAACTGACACTTTACTTACATTTAAAATATTTCTATTTAATGTTATGTCTTGAGAGTGCAATAAAGAAAACCGACATGGCGATTAAGCTTATTTCTCCTGACACTTTATCTTTTGTGACCTGTGTAGCATCCTATACATCACATGTAAGTGATTATTCTGATACCATCATGTTTCATCGGTTATAAACTGGCAAAGCTTTATTTGTCATTTATTTGTCATTTATTTATCATCAATGTTGCAACCTTGTGGGGGAATGGCAGGGGCACATACACAAATATGACAATTTATATAATTTTAAATATTATTTGACCTAAACTTTTAATTCCCCCCATTTCACACAACACAACATGGAGTCCACTATGGGCCAAAACTAACATGTATGTTTGCATAGTGTTTATGGCAGACGGATGCAGTGGGTCTCAGGAAGATATATAATAAAGGTGGGTTTGCTGCTGAGACTCCCTACAGCTGGGAGTTTATTTTATATTGTTATTACTGTTATTATATAGTACAACTGACACTTTATTTTATATTGACAATGTTTACTGACATGTACAACTGACACTTTAGTTACATTTAAAATATTTCTATTTAATGTTATGTCTTGAGAGTGCAATAAAGAAAACCGACATGGCGATTAAACAGATCCTGTATCAGTTTTTCTTCTTCTCTTGTTTTGTAGCGGGTTGCAAACAACTTTAAGGTGCTTACCGCCACCTACTGTACTTGTAATCTTCCCTCAGGGAAAAGTACTCCGGTGTGAACGCGATCTGTACTAAGTACCCTGGGGTTAAAAGCGCCAGGGCTCTTAGTGCCGGAACTAAGTACAGGAAAGTACTTGGTGTGAACGCGGCTAATAATAGCTAAAAAGGATCTAATGACATTAAAACATAGCTCTGAAAGGGGATATTCTGCATGTTGATTTTTATTTGATTACCAATTAACTTAGATTGGGAATTTACAACTTTACATTTAAAGACTTTCTAGGTCTTCCTTTCCAGTACTTATATGCAGAGGAGGAAGAAGTACTCAGATATTGTACTTGAGTTCATTTCATTTCAAACCTTTATTTATCCAGGTGTATCCCATTGAGATCATTGATCTCTTTTTCAAGGGAGACCTGCTCAAGTAGGTTCCACATGAAACATAAAAAACATAAACAGAACAACAAAAAGGACATCATGCAGCGTCATTACAGGGATTACAATTTACATAACTATCCACATGAACAGGTACC